GCCCGGCCGAGCGCCGCCCCGCGGAGCACCCCGGCCGCCAGGCCGCGCGCACCGCGCTGTCGCCGCGCCGCTTCGTGGTGCTGCTGCTGTTCAGCCTGTCGTCGCTGGTGAACGCCTTCCAGTGGATCCAGTACAGCATCATCAGCAACGTGTTCCAGGACTTCTACGGCGTGCCGCTGCTGCACGTCGACTGGCTGTCCATGGTCTACATGCTGGCCTACGTGCCGCTCATCCTGCCCGCCACCTGGCTGCTGGACCGGCGCGGGCTGCGGCTCACCGCGCTGCTGGGCTCCGGCCTCAACTGCCTGGGCGCCTGGGTCAAGTGCGGCAGCGTGCGGCGCCGCGGCTTCTGGGTCACCATGCTGGGCCAGGGCCTGTGCGCCGTGGCCCAGGTCTTCATCCTCGGCCTGCCGTCCCGCATCGCCTCGGTGTGGTTCGGACCCAAGGAGGTGTCCACGGCCTGTGCCACCGCGGTGCTGGGCAACCAGGTGAGCGCTGCGGGCCGGGCCGGGGTGGAGCGGGGCGGGGGGGCCGGGGCGGGGAGGAGTCGGAGGAGGGGGCAGCGGGCAGCTCCATCGCCAGCGCCATGGGAAACCCGGGGTGGCGCGAGCCTGCGTGCCCCGCGTGCTGAGCGAGGTGCACAGCTCCTGAGGGCACCTGAGGCTGACACGCGCACACCTGAGATTGACACGTACACCAGAGGCAGGCATGCACACACCTGAGGCTGACACGCGCACGTCTGAGACACACACACACACACACACACACACACACACACAGAGGCACTGTCAGTGCTGCAGACTTGCATAGGTATTGTGTTGTTGCCGTATTGAGGTCATGGTGAGCAGCCCCTGTAGAGATTTGTAGGTAGTCAGCACACCTGGCACATGATGAACGGGATGCATGGATGGTAAGTAAGTGTTCTGCCGACAGAGACTTCGCAGAACTTTTTATTTTATTTTATTTTGGTCTTTTTGAGACAGGGTCTCCCCGTAGCCCCAGCGGGCCTGGAACTCGCTATGTAGGCCTCATCTCACAGAGATCCGCTGGGACTTAAAGGCATGCACCACCACGCCCAGCCAGTGTTCATGCTTAACTGTAAGGCAGTGGAAGGCCAAGTCCCTGATGGTGGAATGGTAGGGGTTTAATTTCCGAAGGCTTCCTTAAGAATTGACCTTGTTTTTCTCATCATAAATTCAAGTGCCAGTGGAATTCCAGAAGCATTACTAGATAAAAGGTTTTATGTATGCTATTTGATGTTTTGAAACAGGGCTTCTCACTATAGGGCAGGCTGGCCTAGAGTTCAGTGTAGCCCTGAATTCTTGGAAGACCTTCCTCATCCTCCCAAGCATTGGGAGCACCTGCATGAGCCCCCAAGCTAAGCTATTGTGTATCTTTTCAAATCACAGACTGATTTTCTTGCTGTGACTTAAAATTTTTTTTTTTTTTTCGGTCTTTTTGAGACAGGGTCTCTCTGTAGCCCCAGCTGACCTGGAACTCAGGTTGTAGACCAGACTGGCCTTGAACTCACAGAGATTCACCTGCCTCTGCCTCCCCAGTGTTGAGACTACAGGCATATTTTTATAGTGGGCTCTTGTGACATTTGATGTAAATGATACTGAGTGTTCATTCAGTTTGAAGAGGATCTGGTTTAAAATCCCTACCCCTTCTTAAATATATTGTTTCATGTAACAAGGGAATGTTACTTTCTTACTTCGTCTTACTTGTGTCAAGATTACAGTTTTATTTAAAATATCCAGGAAGACTCACTCTTATGTGCTTATTTCTTTAGATTTATTTACTTTTTCTAAAAGTAAAGAAGAAAGGGTTACTTGAACCATAGTTGCTGTGTATCAAAATAGTTTATGACTGATACTTTGGTTATTTCTCAGTGTTTGGATAGCAGCCGTTTTCTTAAGGTTTTTTTTTTTTTTTTTTTTTTGAGACGGGGTCTCCCTGTAGCCTCAGCTGTCCTAGAACTCACTAGGAAGACAAGGCTGGCCTCAAACTCACAGAGATCCACCTGCCTCTGCCTCCCGAGTGCTGGGACTAAAGACATGCACCACCATGCCCAGCTTTCTTAAGGTATTTTACATTTCCAAATTATGTTCAAGATTGACACTTCATTGAACATGACAAAAATATCAACTCCGTATCTATGGATTATTTTGGATTTTGTGGATACAAATGGACACCTTTACTTGTAGATGGACTTCTGTGAGGACATTTCTGGGTCTTCCTATAATCTCCTAAGATGTTCTTGTCCCTTCCATGGTTCCTGTCACTCCATGTCCTTTATGGAGTGATTGTGCATAAGAATGTTCCACCTTATGGAGCACTCACCGAGAGTCTAGCAGTGTGCTACGTGATTTATGTGCACTGGGTCATTTAATTTAATACTATAGGGAACTGTGAGTTTCTCCCACTTGATAAATACAGAATAATTACGGAATGAAATTATTTTCCAAAAGTAATAATATAGCTTGTTAACATTTAAGTGTGTCTGGTTCCTGAATGGCAGCTTTTAACTTCCCAGGTCTCTAGAAAGAACCTTTGAAAATGTGAATCAGAATCTGCCACTGCCCTGAACTCACTAGTGACTTCCCACAGTACTAAGAATGTTCAGTGCTAACTCAGAATGACAGAACTTCCATAATACGTCTTCTTTGGTTTCATAAGCAACACTAAGCGTGTACTTACACAGGGCCTTTGCAGAAACATACACTGGCCTAGAATATTCCTTTTAGAATTACATGATTATATGATTAATGTCACTCAGCTCTTTTTAAACTCTTGCTTTCTCTCCTCACCCTTCTCCCCCTTTCCCTGCCCATGATCTTTCTCTGCTCTGAGCCAGACTGTTCATACTGACCATTTCCCCAAGGTCATGTTCTCCCCCTTGTGGCCTTTGTGCCTAGTGTGCTCTTGGAACACTTGTGCACTCAGCTAATTCTAGTTTCTTTTACAGATCTCTGCTCCTCCAAAATTTTTTCTTAAGCCCAAAGTTTATAAAAGGTACTACTGCAAACTATTTTCTTATCTAGGGTGCTCCAGTTTACTAGATTTGTGAAGAGGACTGTTGTGACTATTTATTTGAATGCATTTTTCAGTTTTGGTATATACCTATAAATTCAATTGCTAGATCATATACTAAATTCTATGTTACACCTTTGAAGAAACTGCCAAACTATGTCCATAGTGGCTATACCATTTTAGAGTGTCACCAACAGTTTATAAGGGTTCCAATTTCTCCACATTCTTGACAATACTTTGTTCTTAAAATTGTACTCATCCTAGTGGATATAAGGTGGAATATTTTGATTTGTTTCTCCCTAATGATTTGTGATAGTAAGCATTTTCTCATATGCTTGTTGGTTGTTTGTGTGTCCTGGAGAAATTATTAAATCTTTGGCCCATTTTAAATTTGGGAATCTTGGGGCTGGAGAGATGGCTCAGCAGTTAAGAACACTGGTTGCAGAAGACCCTGGTTCAAATCCCAACACCCTCATGGAAGCTAACAACCGTCAGTAACTCCAGTTCCAGGGAATCTGACATCCTCTTCTGTCCTCCTCAGGACACTTCACAACATGGGTGCATTTGCACACATGCAGGCATAACACAATACACGTAAAATAAAAATTAAAAAAATTAAAATTGGGATTCTTGTCTTTTTGCTTTTGAGTTGTAGGAGTTCTTTATGCTGTGTGCTAGTTCCTTATCAGCTATGTGGTTTAGAAGTACCTTTCTCATGTTGTAAGTTCTTGATTCCCTTATCAACTGTAGAAGAGAAGTGTATCAGCAATTTTCCTTTAGCAATGAGGTAGTAACAAAGACCTTAGAAAAGACATTTTAGGATTTTAGTGCATTCTGTGCACACTGCTTGTTCTTTCATGTACTATTAAATTCCAACGTTTACTTTCAATTCACTATTAATAACTGTTAACTGGACCATTTATTTTACAGCTTGGAACGGCAGTTGGCTTTTTGTTACCACCTGTTTTAGTGCCCAACACTCAGAATAACACAGATCTCCTGGCTTATAACATCAGCACCATGTTTTACGGAACAGCATTTATCTCTACGTTTTTATTTATTTTAATAGCAGTTGGTAAGTGGATTATTTTTCGTAAGTCATGATAAATGCATGCCCAAGATATGAGAGTAACTAACCTTGAAGTTTGGTTGATGGCTCTCAAATGCTGTTACTTGTTCTGTTCTTGCCATGCATTGTCTTGCTTGGTACTGAATGGAACAACTCTAGGGATGTGCTATGGTCCATTACATGTATTTTAGTATTCTAAAGGGTTTAAAGACTAATCCTTCTCATTTATCTCCCTACTAACTTTTCTTCTTGATAAGTGTTGGTTTTAAACCTGTTGCCTGGCTTCTCTTCCTGTATTCATCTGCGTCTCCATCTAGTGCTTACCTAGCCTGGAACAAATTCATGTTATGCTTTGAAATGATGCAAATAGGCACCCATCTTCCCATCAATGAGAAATCTTCCGGAGAATACCCAATTTAAAATGAACCGGGTCTGAAAACGACCTGTGAATGATCCTGGGCAGCAGTGAGCTGTTCAGCAGAATTTCACAC